GCCTACGTGTTTCTTTTGAACATTCGCCTTTGTCAAGCCACCAAGTTCACCAAGGTATCTTTCTTTGAGCTTCCCTGTCGCTCCACGGCAAGCTCCAGCAACGCGTCCACATGATATAAAGTGCTGGCGGTCTTGACAAGCGCAGTGAGTGCCCTACTAGGTGAATTACAATCCTGCTGCAGCATGGTCCTGTGGTGCCACGAGCTCGGTTCAGTAGTATTTAAAGTAGCTGCTTCACTGCCACATCCTGCGAAGCTTCAACATGTTGAGTTGCAGGTTCAAATGGCGGCGCTGACGCTGGGATGCGGAGGGTCTGGTTGTGATGGCGTTTGATTGCCCAGATCAACGGACACTTGATGAAGGGAGCGAGTGAAGTGCATATGCCCTTGGACCTGAGGCCGTCCTTGCGCACACGGGGCTCTTTTCACTCAATGGAGGTTGCGGATATGTGCTGACACTTCCTGTGAATACTGTAGAAGGGTTGCCCCAAGATGCGAACAGAAAGTCGGCAAGGATTGGAGAGAGATTGCTTGCATCAGTGGCTGAGGAAACCGGCCTTTCTACGGAACAGCTCAGGTGCCCAGGCAGTGTGATTCTGACTTTGGGATCTTCATGCGCTCCATTTTTTAGCAGGCAGCTGCTCAACCCAAGCCGATCTACTTGGAGGCTCCTGCGCTGATTCCAGTTCTTAAGACTGCCATGTGAATCATGTGTTTGAGTGGTCTGCAGCGAGGTTCGGCTGGTAGCAGCCAGGGCTGTTCCAGGGATTGATGCTCCCCTTCCAAAGGGTCCTGTGGTGCTTGCCCCACGGAGCCGAGAGATATCGAAGCATCTCTCGTTTGGTTTTCACGTTGGCTGTGGTGTTGGGCACAGGTGCTGAGTGCCAGCATTTGGGGTGCTCCTACAGATTGCGCTCGCCAGGCGCTCCCGAAAGTGCAAGACTAGTTCACTCCTCCGCAGTGTTCGGCCAGGACTACCATCCAGTCAAAGCAACTGGCTTGGTTATTTGTTGGCCAGATGTGCCCAGGTTGCACTATTGTGTGCATGGTTGCATTCTTATCCCACCAAAGTGATGGACATCACATCACATGCTGTGTGGAGGGCGTTTTCGTCCTCATAGGCACTGACATGGCGTCTCATTGACAGAGCATCCAAGCAAGTAGTTGTCACATTGTGCGGATCATAAACTTGACCGGCACAGAGCACTGCAAGCATGGACTAGAAGCGGGCAATCCGAAGATGACCAGGCACCGGACGACTGTAGATTCATGGTTGGATCAACCTACAAACTCCGTACTTTCATGAAGGCCATCCTCCTCCTCCTCATCATCATCACCATCATCATCATCATCACCATCACCATCACCATCGTCATCGTCATCGTCAACGTCAGCAGCAGCAGCAGCAGCAACAACAACAAACATATACAAAAATGATCCAGGGTTGAAATATGTTTGGGTGTCCTTTTGGTACTGCCCCTGGTCATTGGCAGACTCAAACAAATTCCTGCCAGGGTCATCCCACGATCCCACCACTTGGCATGCACTCCAATGGACCTCCTTCTTATGCCTTTTCTCATTGGAGGGCAGAAGGACCCCCGTGAAAATCTCTACAAGGAGTTGATGATGCATGTTATGTTGATGTCAAAGCCTTCAGTTTTCCACCAAGGCCGCAGGATTAGCAGCCTGGCTTCTTCAGAGCACGGTTCCTGGCTGTGGGTCGAACGTTATGAATGAAACGCTAAGGGTTTCAACGTGGCATCCCCACATGCAGCAATCCTGGTGGCCCGGGATCCTGGTGGCCCGTTCGGATGCGGAGTCCCGGAGCCATCAACCTCAGGTTGAGCTCTTCGAGCTGGACCAGAAAGGAGGCGGACGGGATGGAGGTCCACAGGTCGGTGGAGTGTTTTTTCCGGTCTAAAGCAGTTGGATAGAATCTATTAGAGTTACCGTATTACAGTAGTTAGAGTCTATCGCCGAATTGAGCGAAAGATGAAAAACGCTCGCCTGATGTCAAGGGTATCGTCGTGTTGCTTTCTCAGCAGCTGCAGTGCTGGAGCCCCAAGAGGTTAAGGTTTTCCATGAAAGAAGAGCTAAGCTGGAATAAGCCGTGCAGTCTTCTGTACCGACTGATTGTTGTTGAATGTTTTTGATAAATGGATTGCAAGGCATGGATTGCGGCAGGGTTTGAGATGGCTACCTTTGCTGTCACCGCGAGGCTGCTCAAAGGGCTCTGGAGAAGTAAGAGTTTCAACAGTTGAGATTGAAGGTGGCAGACGGGCCACAAGCCATGGAGCTCTTTCTGGCATGTTGGCGCACATTACACTGGTCGAAGGAGGCTGCATGTATAGATCCCTATAAAACACGTTGTACAAAAATATGTACCAATAACAGAACCATGTCTTTCCCTGTGTTGTGTGCCAGCAGTATTGGATTCTGACTTCCAAGCCGATTCGTCTTGAGGGAGACGGGCATCCTTACAGCGAGCGACGCCACTGGGCCTTCAGTGACGATTGGGTTTGAATTTGGCCACGTAGAATCCTCGACCCTGGCAAACGTCAGGGGCATTGATTGGGATTGCTACGGTAAATTCGACGTCCGTACCTCTTTGTACAGCTGTTGCGTCCGTACAGACATGATCACGACAACGAGGACGTCGGCACGCTGCTATCAGCATGTGGCTTGCACATTGCTGCAAAAGTTGCATCAGAAAGACACTTCTATAATCTTCTATAAGGGACCCCCTGGGCAAACTTGCTTGTGGCATTCCTAGCGCCCCATACCTGAAGCTGACAGGGGTACACCCAAGGGCAGCATGGCCGAGCTGGCGGCAAAGATTCTGTGGCTAGCACAGATAAGCAAAGGGAGCAGCAGAATTTGCACTTCATACACGCACATGATCGCACATGTAATCACATATATATATATATATTATATACAGAAGGGATTGTCATGGGGGGTGGGTTTTTAATTCATAGGTTTTTCAATCATTTTCTAGTTAAGGAACATGAAAAGCCTGCAGAGGATCAAAAAAAACAAGAAACAATTTTCTGAGACTTTCGACGAAAATAGAGAAGTCTGCAGAGGACCAAAAAAACCAAAAAAACCAAAAAAACCAATTTTCTGAGACTCCTAGGGAAATAAAGAAGTCTGCAGAGGACCAAAAAAACCAAAAAAACCAAAAAAACCAATTTTCTGAGACTCCTAGGGAAATA